GGGCAATGATGGTCAGCTGTCCACACGATCCCTCTTTCGCTGAAGCCCCGCAATCAGTGATGGGGGAAAAGTGAAAAAATACTAGAAAAAGGGCAGAAAGGAAGAAAGGAGATTGTGCCGGGCACATTCCATACCTCAGCCCCTCATCGTCAAGCAGTTGTTTCACAGCCATCCCCCCGATCCCATCACTGCAACATTCATCAAATGGGTTGGCCGGGAAGAGGAGGGTAAACACCTCAAGTCGAATGAACTGAGCAGCAACGACCTAGGACAACACCAACAGGGAACACGCGTTCTTACAGAACAGCAACATGCGCCAAAGAATTGGCTGGCGTCTCACTGAGTTTTAATTCCAAGGAAAATAACTTTTTCATTTGCGTAAAATGTACATTAGTAACTTCGGGTTCTTTTTGCATTATCGGGGGGAGGGTTCTTGGGAAAGAATTTGTTTCTAAACTGTTTTTACTATCCCTAAACGTAAAAACTTTACACAATGCTACTAAAAAGTGCAAAAAAGCATCGATTTTTAAACAAAACCGACCGTTTTTGACCAAAATTTCTCGTTTTGAAAATTTTTTCGAAGTTTTTAGATAGTTTTTCTAGTTAAAATAGCTATGTTTTACCAAAAATATTATGAAAATACTTCCTATTAAGTTATTAGACATTTCTAAGTGAATAAAAAAATTTGCTGACTTTTGGCAATCAGAAGCCACTAAAAACTATAAAAAACACCATAAAGCGGTTAAATTCTTGTTATTTTGGCACCCACCCCCAGGCCCGTACGAGGGGGGGGGCAGGGGGGGCAGCCTGCCCCCCCCCCCCCGAAATCCTCGGGGGGCCGAAAAGTACATAAGGTAGTACCCTTATGTTTTTTTTGCATCATTTTTGCTGCCCCCATGGAGGGGGCAGGTAATCTAGAAGTTTGAATTTTCCCGCATTTTTTTGGCACTAATGTTAGGGTGGCAGATGGTGTTGGGTGTTGTTAGGAGATTATTTTGGCACCATTAATGGGCTAATATTTGGAGGAAAGGCCCAAAATAGGCAATAATGATACGGCGGTAACTCCATGGAGAAGTAACGGATCGGGATGATTGATATAGCGATAGAAAGCCCAGAGCAGGGAGAATACAGGGCGATGTAAAGCAGAAAACCCGTATTGCTAGAGCACTTTATTCCGGTTACTAACGGTAACTTAGCGCGGCAGAGCGCTTGCCTGTTCACGGCACCCTCGACAACAATAAAGTGTGAGGAGAAATAGACCTCCCCCCAAAATCGACCGAGCCCGGAAAGCGCATAAGGCCCTTTAGATTTTTTTTCGCAAAAAATTTCGCAAAAAACTGTGCCAAGCCTTTGTTCGGGTGGCTCGCAAACGGCCTTTAAACGCTATTTATTTTTATAATATAGACACAGTTTTTTCAAAAAAATTTCTGCCTGCGGCGCCTTTTTCCTCGCTCTTTAACACCATTTTTTATCCTATAGGCACCGTTTTTCAAAAATTTCAGCCTGCGGCGCTGTTTTTCAGTAAATTTATCGCAATTTTCGCTAAGTGTGCTGCCTGGGGCGCTCTCAGGCCGCCCGGGCGACCCCCGCCCTCCGCCCCGCAATCGCCCGAAGGCCGAAAAGTTCATAAGGGGGACCCTTATGATCGTTTTCTGGAAAATTTTTCTGCCTGCGGCGCTTTTTATAGCTGTTCGCAAGTCGGTTTTTAGTGTTAGAAACACCATTTTCAAAAATTTTGCCTGCGGCGCTCATTTTTTCAATCATTGAATCGCAATTTCGGTTCAAAAGTGCATTTTTTGCCGCGATTTGGCCGAATCCCAGGGTTTTTCTTAACCAATTTTGCAAAAATTTCGCCTGCGGCGCTGTTTTTAGAGTTTTTACACCGTTTCTCCGCCATTGTACAAAGCGTCGACCGGGGGGAGGTCGTCAAAAATTTTTCGGTCCTGCCCCCGAAATTTCGCCCAGGTACGGCCCTGCCCACCCCCCGCTAACAGACCGGTACCACTAATTCTGCCGAGGATAGGATAACGATCTCAGCGGGGTATCAGGTAAATCTACCAGGTACATGCATTGCAAAACGCTCAACAACTGCCAAGTACTAATTATCCTTTACCCGGTCGTTAATTCCGTGCTCTGATCGGCGCCTCTAAATATTTGTATTGGATTGAAGGGGCGGATGGTGCGTGGAGTGTAGATGGGAATCGGGTGCCAAATGGCCCTCAGCCAGCACAAATAGATCCCGACCGGGTTTGCAGGACCCGAACTCGCACCACCACATCCCAACATCCTCAAAACTGTTTTTTCCGGGGCTTCTTCTCACGCGGCAGGGGGCTGCGCGCGTGATAGTGTGGGCGATGGTCAGAAACCTATCCGAGAACACTTCGGCCAGCAGCGGCTCGCGAAAGTACACAGCTTTTTGTGGAGATAATAAACTTTCGTGGACTTTTGTGAGGTCAAAATTGGGTGAAAAATTCAATTATACGTTACCAAAGGTTGTAGCAAAAAAAAAGCGTAATCGCGCAAAAAAGACCATGAATTTTGCTTTTGTTTTCCTCAACCAACGCCTTTTCAAGATGTAAATGAAAAGGGGCAGGGGGATCTTTTTTTAGTGTCGATGGAGTTTCGAAATGGGACCAAGCCTATTTTGTGCAGGATTTTTCGCTGATTAAAAATCTCATCTTCGGAAGCTGCACAGAGACCGAAATAAGACAGTTATGAAGCTTTTAAGGGCGAAAAACGGAGAAATTTGACCATTTTCTGAATTTTGGACGCTTTTTAAAGCCTTTAAAAGTACTTTTAAAGTAGGAATAAACTAATTAAAGCAAGGTAAATTAACTTTTGAAATATGGTCGTTTCGCAGATTCTGAAACGCCCGTTTTGATCCGCGAAAAATTCTCCACAAATTAGGCTTGGTCCCATTTCGAAAACTGATTCGTAGATAAACTATGTAGATATAAGTGAAGCCAGGCCCGACCCATCAAATTTTCGGTCTCCCTAGGTTAAAATTTTTATGTATGCAGCATAATTCTGTGATTAGACCAACAAATAAGTCTAAAATCCTAATCTAAACCTAGTTACGCTCGAATTTAAGTCTAACCCTGGTCAACAGCGTTCAGCTTTCTTCTTTGCCCAGGTCAACGCCGCTCAGATACGTGCCGAAGTGATTTCTAAAAGACTGTGTGGCTCCACTGACCACTCTCATGTCAAAATGTGTTCGATGGGGCGTCATGTAACGTGTGTGTGTGTCTATTTATCCTAAAGAAATTGAGAGCCTCTACCATGTCTCGCGCGTTTGCTGGCCACTCGATCACGTTCGCCCCCCAATAAAAAGTGCGGATTTGAGCATGTCTACCTGGGGGCGGGTAGCAGACTTTGATCGCGAAAACGAGGCTGAAAAAAGTCGATAGGGCTTCAAGGGGAAACATAAGCCAATTCAGAAATCCGTAAGGTAACAATCTGTAAGCAGTTGTGTTCGGAGCGGCCCAAAAAACGGCCTAGATTTGACGTTTCCACCATTTTCGTGGCAAAAACATCGAAAACCCTACAAATCAAAGATTTTCGTTGTGTTTTGGTATTAATAAATTCAATTGAAATAAATAGGGGCTATAATAGCGAAGAACTTACGGTGCGGGAGGGATGTTTTGGGCATCAGCGCCAAATCTGTTTTTCAAGAAAACGCCATCATAACTTGGTTATTTCTTCTGAGAAGTCTAGACCCGCGCCTGAAAGTATTGTTAGGACGATTACAAGCAAGCAAGCGAAGGCAAGCAAGGCAGTTTAGAAGGGGACCTTGGCGTTGGCGGACACGTCATGGTGAGGTCACCTAGATTTAGCATGAGAGAATCCGCGCAATGCAACACATAATACTTTTTATTGACAATAATATACGCTCTTCTCACAAATTACAGGAATCTAGCCACAAAATTGAACGTCTAAAAGTATATATAAAAATGGTAGGGGCCGAAGGGGGACGACAAAGCAAAAATTCACATTTTTGACCGGGCTTGACAGAAGGGGGGCAGGGTAACCGTTTGAAGTATGGGTGGCTGGAGCTGAAGGGGGCAAGGACCACCGGTAAATTCAATAATGGTTCAGATATTGACAGACGAGACGGTGATCAAGCATTTATAGAAGCGAGAAAATGATGGACAAAAAATAGGGGTGGCTTGTTAGAAATAGCGGGTGTTTAAAGGGGCTCCGAACTGCCAAACAAAGCCCGGGAGGCCTGATTCTGGCAAAGCCAGCGGCGCGCGGGACGAGAGCCCCACCTTCGATTGCGCGAAGTTTTTGCCCGGTTCTTGTGAAAACAAAAATCGCACACTGGGCCCATTTGAAACCCACCAAGAAAGGGTGTTTAACACCATGGCCCAGAAACAGCCGAAACGGATTCGGGTGACAACAGGCCATCAATGCGAGCCCCGCGACCCTAGGTGTGAGAGGCCCCCACGTACAGGGCTCCGATTCGGGCCGTCACCCAATTTGGCATTTCGTAGCCCCTTTAAGTGACGCCATTGTGGCCAGGGGGAAAGCATCGGGGGAGCACACATTATTAGACACACGAGCAATAATGGGGGCATTTCTCACCGCAAAAAAAAACGTTGGGCGGTACTTCCGAGAATTTTGGCACCGACTAACAGCGGCTCTATACGGGGAATCGGTAATTTTTTGTTGCAACCGTGGTATTTTGAAAATACCGTTTTTTTCGGCGGGCCAAAAGCCCCGTTTTTAACAGGTCAAAAACCGCTAAAAATCCTGTTTTTTTTCTGGCCATCTTATTGTTAGGCATAAACACAAGCTAAACAAGGTCAAGTTAGGATTCGCCGAGACCGAGCCTACAGCGAATCACTTTAATTAGACCCAAAGGCTAAAGAGTTCGGTTCGAATCCCCCGATTTTGTTAAAATCCCGATTTTCCCGTAGAGAACCTGCCGGCGGTTGTCGTGCAAGTGGAAAAATCTTAGAGAAAGGGCAAAAAGGGATATAGTAGATGTTTGTTTCCTAATTGGCCGGCTCCTCGGATACCTTGATGACCATCTTTCCAATGTTCTTGCCGGCCATCATGTCGACGAAGGCTTGTGGGGCCGAGGCGAGACCCATGTACACCGTTTCGTTCACCTGAAAAAAGATTTACTAACCTTAAATCGAAAATTTCTTGTGAAATCGCTAAGCTAAACCTGCAATTACGCCTGACAGACGAAGAGAGCGATGCACGACTTTATATGGCATCGAAATAGGTAAATAGCCATCCAATTTTCGGCTCACGGAATTTCGGCGTCGACACCTCGAGTGGAAAAACGAACCTTGAGCTTCTCCTCGGTGATCCACTGGCTAAGTTGGGCCACGGCCGCATCCATCTCATCCTTGTGCGCCAGCAGCAAGAAGCGTTCCCTGAAAGGCAGTCATATAAAAAAAGCAAGAGACGCAGTTTTACGACTTTTACAACCGGGAAGCCCACTTCTCCTCAGCTTGGTTTCAAAGGATTTTAAGGCTCCTTTTTCAGTATCAGGGGTCCAACCTGTTTTTAACTATTCCCAAACGTACAAAACTATACAAATTACCATTAAAATTTACAAAAGATTCCAAATGGGCCCAAATTTGATTAATTTTTGCATCTTTTTAATCGTTTTTCAGTTGAAATTTAGTTAGGTTTGACGAAAAAACTATGAAAATACTTGCTATTAGGTTACCCGAGGTTTCAGTTACCCGAACCATAAAGTTTGTTCCCCGATATCGCGAAAGCACCAGAGCTAATAATCAAGCGTCCAACACGAACCGTGAAATATTTCGATGGGTGATAATCTCGGCGACAACTGGATTGAGTGGTGGCGGATAGGGGAGATCGGTGTTGTAGACGGCAATCTGGCCACACAACACCACGCGCCCATCCGCGTTCATCTACAAGACAATAATCTTAAATTGGTAGGGAAACATACCCGCTGGATCACCGCATCGGAAACAAAGCCGCCGACGTTGTCAAAGTAGATGTCGACACCCGAGGGCGCTAAATCGGCCAATCGGTCTCCGACAGATTCGTTCCTGAAATATAGGGTAGAAAACGAGGGGCAATGCCGCGCAATTAAATTTCGTCTAACTTATAACTTTGTGGATTTCTTTCTCAAAGTTTTTTTTCCGTGCCGACATCGATGCTTCTTATTCCAGCCATTTCTGCGGGTAAAATCGAACAAAAAGTTTTTTCCCCAATTTCCGGACCGAAAATGAAAAAGACTGGCAAAACGACGTCGCGTATTTCAGTTCCAACCCGGCATTTTTCCTTATAAAACGAACTTGTAATTGATGGCGGCGTCAAACCCAAGCGTCTTCGTAATCCAACGACATTTCTCTTCAGATCCACAAATGCCGATGACCCGTGAACAGCCCTCGAGCCGTGCAATCTAAAAACTCACATGGATCTCCCCAAAAAACCTTCACCTGACCAGCCAATGATCCACAACTTCCCCCCCGCGGCAGAGACGACGATCGTTTCTTTGCGGTCTTTCCGAATCTTTGCCTTCTTCCGAATTCCCAATAAAGCCGTCATGCCAGAGATGCCGACGCCCGACAGGATGATTTTTGGTGAGAGGCCCCGGGGCAGTTCGACCTAAAAGATTGCGTCAATACTTCTTGCGGCGATAGTTGCGGCACGAAAATTGTGCTTAAACTTTATTCGGCCCATTTAAATAGGTCCGTTCATTTCATTTCTCCACTCACTGTAAAGTGTTTTTACTCAAGTTGGAGTTTCGATTCGGGACCAAGTGCATCTTGTGCAGAATTTTTTGCTGATACCGAATCCGTTTTCCAAATTTGCTGCGGACTTTTATTTAAAAAGTCATTTTAGGTGCAAATTAAGCTTGAAAAAGCCAAAAATTCGGATCCTGGTCCACTATTCCCTCCATGTTTCTGCCTCGCCCAGGGGCCCTGAAGTACTCTGCCACAACTCCCCCTCCGGGTTGGCACCATGGTCCATTGGCAAAGTACTCGCTTGCCAAGCGCAGGGCGGCGGTTCGGATCCCCGCCCTGCACCTTTCTTTTGCTTTTTGCACAAAAAAATTTAATTTTGTAAAAAAAGCTTGTTTTGACTTTTAAGATGCTTGTCTAGCCAATCTCTAGCCAACTTTGAAGTTGAAATTGATCAGGAAAATCGAAAACGATAACGGTTCCTTGATTTTGGTGAAAAACACTACCATAACTGCTGCATAACTTTCAAAATAAAAGTCCGCAGCAAATTTGGAAAGCGGATTCGGAATCTACGAAAAATTCTGCACAAGATGCACTTGGTCTTGAATCGAAACTCCAACTTGAGTAAAAACACTTTACAGTCAGTAAGTGATAGCGATCCCTTGGCTCTGACATGAAAAGCGCCGCTGTTTCATTTGGTCAAAAACTGTGGACCGCATGCGTTCAGATACGAAAAAGACTAGCACATACCTTCACCAGATCGTTGCCATCCGCGATAAAAACTCGTGTCCACGGCCACAAATGTGCGCATGCCGTGACGATGTCGCCCCGTTGCAGTGTGCACTCAATTGTCGCCACCTAGACAACAATTTTTGACCGGAAATTCTCGGGTATACCTCGACAATGCCGATGCCTTCCAAACCGTCCACCAGTCCGCCCTCTTCATATGGGGCCAAATAGTCGACGCCCGTCACCTTGTTCATCCGACAACGCTAAAAAATAAAGGAATTTTCAATAATTTCTAAAATTTATACAATCCTATCCTATAAGCGAGAAAAGTATGTCTGTTTTCTGTACGGCCGTTTTCTCGGCCGTCAGGCCGCGTTTCGAGCTGATTTTTGGCATGGAGGTGGGAAATGTCACTCATAAAAAAGGTTTTTCGGATTTTTCGAAATTCTTTGATTTAACGATTTTACAAGCAAAAATGTGAAAAATCCTTAACATTTTTGGGTACGCACGTTGTCCGGAACTTTTCTCGGCCACTAGAGGGAATCGGGGTCTCATTTTTAGAGGGTAGATGGAAAAAGTAATTCCCCAGATACATTTTTTCGGATTTTGCAAAAATCTTTAAAATAAAGTTTTTATGTGTATTTTTCTGCAAGGTCCTTAATAAATCGCGGATTGGGCCGTGGTGTCCAGGCCATAACTCGACGCCCTGATGGAATTCCGGGCTGAAATTCGGACCGTTTATGCAATCAAGGGTGGGGATCATGCGCATCTTATTATCTTTGCAAAATTTCCACAGATTCAAACTCGAAAAAAGAATTTTGTAAAGTGACCAGAAGGCCTCCCTCCGGGATCATTGGACATCCTCATCTTTGCCCCCGCCTCCCCAGGACAGAACAGGCCTTTCCCGCCGCCTCCCCGCATATCCCCCTTGGTGTAATGGATTAGCTCTCGGCCTACCAGGCGCAGGGTCGTGAGTTCGGATCCTGGGAGAATTTAGTTTTTTGCTTTTTGGTAGTTCGGTTTCAAAACATATTTCTAGGATCTCGGTGTGCAAGATTCAGGTCTTGCTCTCGCTCTAGCGCCGCAGGCCAAAGAAAAAGGCCCTGGCTCGGGCTCTCGCGCCGCAGGCCAAACAAAAAGGGGCTTGCCCCGGCCACTCGCCCCGCAGGCCAGATCCTGGAGAAAAACCAGTAGCTAGCGCCGCAGGCTCAAAGATTCTAGCGCAACGCTGGCTCTGGCGCCGCAGGCCAAAGAATGGCTCCTTGGCTCAGGTTCTAGCGCCGCAGGCTAAAAAAAGAGGGTATTCAAATTCATGGTTCCTGGACGTGGTCCAGTGGAAAATGGCCGCGAAGCGGTCTTTTTCCACTGGTTTGGTTATAACAGGGAATGTATTCAGGTACTGTTTACCACTATTTCTAAATCCAAATACCCCGTAAGGGTTACTAAAAAAAATCACGAATCCATAAAAAGTATCGAATTTTTCGAGCGAAGTGATCAATTTGGACAGAAAATCCAAAGTTTTGCCAATGATATCGAAGCCGATTTAAAAATTCTTGCCTACGAATTTGGTTAGTCGGAAGACATTACAATTCTTTTAAAAGTTGTTGCTAGACAGGCCTGTAGTCATATGAAAAAGTAGGGTTTCCCCGTCGAAGGCGCGAAAGTACTTTTCTAGCAATTTGTACCTGTGCGGGATCGGCACTCAAATACAGCGTGCGCACGATGCATTGCCCCGTTTCCAAGTCGTCTCGTGTTGGTAGATGGCATGGCTCGTGTTGAAAGCAAGAAGCCGTCGGCGGGCTGTTTTCACCTAAGACTAGATATTTTCAGCTTATTTCGTATGGAACTTTCTAATGAAATAGAACGCACCAGGCCTCTTCAGAAATATTATTCGCTCGTTGTCGTTGACTCCGCTGCATCCCTCAGCAAGGCCGCGGCTAGAAAGGCCTATTTCTACCCGAATTCCAATTATACCTTTGCACCGAAGCCAGCATCCGGCACTGCGCTCGACGTCAGCTGCTTGTCGTGTTACCTGAAAAGTAATGTTGAGCAATTTTACGCTTCATTATATGAAAAGCACGAAAAATCGATAGGGATCGCCCTAAATTGCAGCCCACGCTGATAAGAGTGCCTGCGGGGAAATTGTACAAACCGACGGCCAAAAGGTCATGAGGCAAAGAAGGAGATGTTAGCAGCCAATTATTCTGTCTTATTGATTAGCGAAAAATACTTGTGCTGTGGACTGTCAAAAGGGATGAACACAAAATTCTAGCAAGGGCAAACAAACACGTTCCAACTTTCAGCTTCTAGTCTTCAAGTCGGCACATGGAAAATGGATAAAAGGAACAACAAACCGAGGACCGGGAAGGCCCCACGGCCGTTCACATGGACATTCACATGCTGGAAACGGAGGGAATGGGCCTAAATGGGAGGGCGAGGGACGGATGGTGCAAAGGAAACACGCACACACACAGCAACTCACTTTTTGCAGCCTCTCTCTCTCCTCACGAGTCTCCCAAAATCCCTCGCCGACTCGATGGCACAATACAATTCCCCCCAATCCCAATCGATCTATGGCCGGTTAGGTGATGTGCAGTCATCGGCAGGTAAAATTCTAAAACGTCGGGCAGAAATCTACTTGCAAAATTCAAGGTGTCCCGCGAAAAAAACGACTCCTCGGCATTTGTTCACCTTCTAATATTGCAAGGTGTCAATCCAGTCGCAATTTCTACCAGTGATTCATGGACCTGAAACCTATGTGCGCGCGACAACTTTCCTTAGGAAAGTGGAGAATTTCGGCTTCGAAATGCTTAGCAAAATAAAAGGCACATTCCCTACCCGGATCCGCGATATCTTTTGTTAATACAAAATCATATCGAAGAATCAAAAACCGAGTACCAAAAAATCTAGCAGGGTATGGGTTTTTGGAACATTGTAGGGATATGCGTTCGATGCTTGTAATAAGCTGTACAGGAATTTTGCCCGACGAGGCTAAACGGGTAGTGGGCGCTGAAAGTTCTGTGATGGGGAAGGAGGATCCAAAAATAGCCCCGTATCCGGATCAATGATTGGGGATGCGGGGGTAGGGAATACGACATGTGAGGAATGGGTAGCCGCCCACAATCAATCAAATGTTTTGCCAATTCCCGAACACTACACGGAGCATCTTGAGAAATCGGATGACGATATGAGGACACTAAATAAAATTAATTTTTGCCGCAGCACCATAATTGCTGCAATCTGGGATACTGAAGATGGCTTGGTAAGGCCAAAAAAGGGCATCAATTGGCCTGGGAATGGGATCAGGTGGAAAGGCTCAGTTAGCGCCCGGTCAAACGCGCGGTCTGCGTCTCTAAAAAGGACATCGTTTTTGGGCATCTCACCGAACCTGTCTCCTACACTGTCTCACATCAGACCGTGGAGCATCATTAGGCCGGAGATCAGAGGTACAAACGCCAAAGACAAAGTTCTCCAGAAAACTAGAAGGATAAAGCACGATCTCCAGGCAGAATAGGTAGACGCGAGAGCTCCTCCCCAGCGGGTTTAAAATATCTTTAAAACCCCAGGGATTCGCTCAGGAAATAAAAGGGGTGGCTTCAGCCTAGCACCCAGACTGGAATCTGATCAAGCAAGGATGGCTCGGGAACGCGCTTCCTGGGCCGTAGCAAACACTAGTGTGACAGCCCATTAATCCGTAGCAAAATCTACGTTGCGTATCCCTAAAGTGCCGTCGAGATTCATAAAGTAAAAGTTAGATTCATAAATTAATTAATAGGATCTGTATAGCTATATATCGTTAAACTACAAAAGTCCGAGAGTTTTCGATAGCGCTACCGTCGAAAAGAGAATTGTTAGCTAGTTATTTCTGACTCTCGTGTCTCAATATGGGGAAAACCAAATACGCACTAGCTGCAACACTCATAGATAGAAAAAACTTTAGGATTTCCGGGGAAGTATTTCCGGGAACCAATTTTTTCGGCCCAAGCCTAAATTTTTTCTAAATAGCGCATGCGTTCTAAATGGTTTTTAACTAGTCCTGAGCATAAAAACTACACACATTTTAATTAAAAAATTTAATTTTAGACCGAAAAACCTATAGAACCTTTAGGATTAGGGGGGAAAGACCCAAATGACTAAATTTTCGACTTTTCAAACATTTTCTAACTTTTTTGAAAGGTTTTTCTACTTTAAATATAGTTAAAATTTACTAAAAACAATGTGAAAACACTTTATATTTGATTACTAGGTCGACCGGGAAAACCAGGAAAAAATTTGGTTTCCCCGGAAATCCTAAAGAACCAAAAAAAGTGACGCTACGAAATAACGGTCACATGGTCATCCTTTGATCGACGCAACTACAGCTCGGTCCGCGGATGCCTGGGGAGAAAGAGCCAAGGTTCGCGCGCGAAAAAGATCGGGTGACAGACAACCCAACTGGGTGACTGAGCCAAAAAAAGATATCAGAAACCGTGCGCTTTGTTTTTCATACGTAACCGACCCGTGCGACCGACTTGAAAACTTGAATAACCCTGTCGACGCGGTGAGTGAGCTGGCGGCGGACATTTAGGACAATCTGCAGTATTCCGAGCATTTCCAGCTAAATCAAAATCTACACCGCGAAGCAGCAATGAGAAAACTGGTTGCCTTGGGTGAAAAGTTCTTTATTCCGTTGAATAAAAGGCAATCGAACAGGTCGCTGGATATCGGCTAATTAAAGAAACACAAGCAAGAAGGCTCAAAACAGGACCACAATTACATCAGAAACGATTTCTACCTTCTACCGGGTCCGACAAAAACAAGTCCCAGAGTCTAACTGGTTGTAAGAATCTAAGAGGCCACACTATACAAAACGATAATTGATTTGAAGGCTAGATACAAAAAGTATCACGGAGGTACCGTTTCACAATGAATGGTAGAGTATTCTAGACCTTGGCGACATCCGGAGCCGGCTTCGTCTTCAGCCCGACGAGGAGGGACTTGATCTCACCGATGGCGCGGGCAGGGTTCAGATGCTAAAAAAGATTATACCTTTGAAATGGTAAAAGTTCATTAATTCTCACTATATTTCGATCTTTGCTATGTGGGAAAAAAAAAAAAAGAAAAAAAAAAAAAAAAAAAAAAAAAAAAAAAAAAAAAAAAAAAAAAAAAAAAAAAAAAAAAAAAAAAAAAAAAAAAAAATTTTAAATTAAAAAAAAAAAAAAAAAAAAAAAAAAAAAAAAAAAAAAAAAAAAAAAAAAAAAGACTCCCCCCCCCCCGATTCTCTCGCTATCTTACAATCCTAGACTTCCTCAAAATTCGGCCTCGGGGGAAAATCGGTATAGCCAAAAAGCCACACCCAAATCACCTTAGGGCAAGTCTTCGTGCAGTTGAGAATGGTGTGGCATTTGAAGGCCGAATACGCATCGTGCATACGGTGGAGACGTTCCAAAGCGTAGTCGTCACGGGAGTCAATCACCCATCTGGAAAACAGAATCAACTCTCACAGTTTCATGTTCAATCTTATTTTCCTCCCACTATTAGCCCTTATAACGATCTATACTGCAAGATGACCCCGGTATATTTATGCCATAATTCTTTTATTGATACCAATTATTTATCTGGTATCACCTTCAGGGGGGGGGCCGAAAAAAAAATTGGGGGGCCCAAAAAAAACAAAAAAAAAAACCACAAAAAAAAAAAAAAAAAGACAGCAAAAAACAAAAAAAAAAAAAAAAAAAAAAAATCAAAAAAATTCCCAAAAAAAAAATGCCCCCCCGGAATCCAGAGGGGAGGGGACGGCGAAAAAAAAAAAATACCCCACCTACCATCACCTTATAACTGTTTTTTTTGTTAGTTTCGTACCCATGATTCCGTTTTATTGCCCGGTTGAAACAAAACATTCATATAAATCAAACGAACCGATAAGCCTGCATGAGAACGGCAGGGCCCAGGTATTTGTCGGCATTCCACCAGTAAGATGGGCAAGACGTCGAGCAGCACGCGCACAGAATGCACTCATAGAGACCATCCTAAAATCATGACGTTAAAAACAAAGAAACTATATTACCAGGCGCTCCCGCTCCTTGACGCTTTGGTGCATTTGTTTGTCGCCGAGGGTCAGCTTGTCCTTCTTCTGAATCCACGGCTGGATGGAGGCGTATTGGGCGTAGAAGAGGTTCATGTCCGGCACAAGGTCCTAAAAAAATGTTCCAAGAGCTATAGGGGAAATATCCGAACCTTGACAACAAACATGTGAGGCAGCGGGTAGATCTTTGTACTCTTGCTCGTGTCGTCATCAATCTTGCAGATACAGGCCAGCGTGTTTGTCCCACCAATGTTCATCGAACACGATCCGCAGATACCTGTTACATTTTATAAATAACACTCCAACTCTTACCTTCACGACAGGAACGCCGGAAAGTCAGGGTCGGGTCGTCTTCGTTTTTAATCTTGATCAGCGCGTCGAGGATCATTGGGCCACACTTGTCCAAATCCACATCGTATCGCTAAAAATGATTTCTCGCAAAAATTCAGTTTTGGGGAGCTTGAAGAGCTCATGGAAACCAGTCACCAATCACGCCAATTTTCAGCTTGCTTACCTGCATATACGGCTTCGAGCCAGCCTTGTCCGGATTGTAGCGGTAGATTTCGAAGGTTTTCACCTAAAAAGATATTTGGGATGATCCGAAACTCTGCCACAAAATAAAATAACCCACCCGCTTCCCGACAGCCTTGGTCGATGCGGCACGAGCAGCAAGGGCGGCCTGACGCGCCAGCATCCTGAAATAAATCCAAGTAAGGGGTTCAAAAATTGGCACTTTTTGCGTATAGAAAAAACAATCAGCAAAAACAGCCTTCGGTTGGACGTTCTAGTGGGCTACAACTCGCTACTAACGCCTATCCACTGGTTATATGCTCGCAACCCAGTTTCAACGAAAGGGAGAGATAGAAAAGCAGTTTCAACTTCTGAGCTGTTTTTTTCGAAAAAATCCACATATCAAAAAGTTTATTCGTCTCTTGCCCGAGTTGACAATAGCGAATCGAGTGGAAGTGAAAAGGAGGGTAATACCGGTCAAGAAAGAGATCAATCACAAAGCGATGTTTGTGACACGGGTTAATAAACATAATTGATATATTGCTTATGCGGGCACAGGAGTACTATCTTTTTCGGTGGTATTTCCGAGGGGCACAGGCTGCCGTCGTTCTTCTAAGCAATCCGGCTCGACAGCCAAGTGTTCGAAGTATTCGCTTGAATTTGCCCATTCCAGCCCACACGTCGCGCACATGCATCGCTCGTCGATCTGAAAGTTGCTAATGGTATTTCTGCACAAGTAGAACTTACCTCAAATTCATCACCGAACGCGCTCGCCTTCGTGCTTGACTCCAAAGAATCTATGTCGATCCCTGTCCCCTCGGAAAGCCGATCGATGCAAGTATCACTAAATAAGGTAATTAGCAATGGGATACGTTACTATTTTCATCGGTTATTTTGGTATAATAAGAAGGATGCATATCCGGGGAAGAATGGCGGGAACGAACTTTCCCCAGCCAGTTTTTATACAAATGGAAGTGTCTAAATTTTTATAGTATCAATACAAACTTACAAAATTAAAAAAATTTAATACTCAAATCAATCAATACAACATTCTCCCCGACACCCGACACCCACACCCCGACACCGCCCGACATTGCGCCCGACATTTGCGCCCGACACTTCCCCACACTTCGCCCACACTCCCCGACATATTGATTTAAACTGTCTGAATTTGTATTCCGCAATTTTGTATATTACTTATTTGCATTAAAGCTGACAAAGTGATACCCATGAGCGCCAAAGGCCAAAGACCTCGCCGAGTCCCCCACTCTTCAAATCGGGGCCCCCCCCCGCGCCCCATCCAAACCCTCACTCCACCCATCCGAACGACTACCCCGGTACGAAGCCTTTCTATCCAAGGAAGAAGCAATTACCTTCCCTCCAAATCATGACTCATGCAAAACATCTTTCTATCGTTTCTTTAACCAAAATCCCGCAAAATTCATCTCAAGTAGCTAACTCGATACGGCTCCGCGCGCAAATCGCGGTCGGGAGACGGGCAGTGGGGGTGGTCGGGTTACCCGATACCAAGAACCAAGGATTGAATTAAACTAGCAATAATTCACCCTAAGTGGTACTTTAACGCATCTGAGAACAACTTTGGGTAAATGGGACCTAAAGTTTGAACGCTACAAGGGTTTAATACTTATAAAAAACAAGGCTACCTCAGCCTCCGTATGCCACTTTCATCTTCAGGCCTTTGCAGGATAGGATCAAGGTCTTCGTCGCAGGTGTACTAAAATTAACTACAAATACATAAGCTAAAGTGTACCGTAAAAAGACGATAATGCTGCGGGTTTGGAAGCCGTTCCATTACAGCCAACTTGTCCTTTGCTTTACTCCGCACACCCAGCGTCATTATTTTTTGTTCTAAAAACTTTAATAAAAAGCTCATTAAAAAAGCCTGCCATTTTCAGGGTCAAAGTCGCGGGGCCTTCTCCGGACACATGGATGGACGAGGGCAAACTCAAGTTCTGGCGTCGTCATTTGGCAACTAAAAACTGCGGTAAAAGATAGTTAGCGGGGGGGCTAGCTCGTATAAGCATATTTAACAACATTTTAGCAATCGCGGCTTCTTATCGTTGTTGAGTGATTTTTGGTCACGAAAAAATCTCATATATTTTAGAGGAAAAACAAAGTTTAGAGAATTTAGAAAAAATTCAGGAAAGAAGCGTAGAAAAGTCTTACATATCGCAAAAGTAGGGGAATACACGCGGAAACGGGAAGTAGTAGACGGTCCTCTTCTTGATCTTGGCCGCAATGCTGCGTTTCACGACGATCCCGCGGAAACGGTGAGACCTATAAGACTGTTTTTAGGAAAAAGTGAATCAGTAGTAACAAAAAGCACCGGTCCTAAACATCGGTGGGGCTTAATCAAGTGTGATGGGTCTGTTTCCAGCCCGTCACCCTCGCTACTCGGCCTGGGGCAATAAAGCAGCGGAAAGAGCACCGACCAGGGGACCAGGTGTCGATATCCTGGGTGGATCCATCGCGTCAAGTGCTCCGGGCAGCTCGTTAGCATTAACCGACTCGGGTCCTCTGAAAAACGCGATTTACTTTCGTAAACTAATAGCATTCAAGTCGCCGATGATATTTTTCGTAATAAGAATGCTTTTGCTTGCTTTTGAAAGTTGTGGTACTTTTCCTGCTCTTCTTCCAGCAATTCATGTTGTTCATGTGCAATTTGTTGACAGCCTACAACCCTAACCTTCATCCGTAGAAGCTGATACCCCAAAATATCGGGGTTTTCGTTCTTTTTCTTTAGTTTTCATTTCTTTTTCTGGACTATCGCTTCAAGAAAGCCGAAATGGCCACCGAAGCACGGGGCAAGACAACAGAACGGGGCAGACAACAGAACGGGCATGGCAACAGAACGGGGCAAGACAGCAAACGCAAAGCCAGCAGAACGGGCAAGCACAGAACGGGGCAGCCAGCAGAACGGACAGCCAGTCCCGCGGCCGGCGGCCAGCAGAACGGGGCAGTTTGCCAGCCGGCGGCCAGCAGACGGGCAGCAACCAGAAAAACGATTACCCCCACTTTAACCACCGAAGCACGGGCAAGACAACAGAACGGGCATGACAACAGAACGGGCATGGCAACAGAACGGGCAAGCAGCAGAACGGGCAAAGCCAGCAGAACGGGGCAAGGCAGAACGGCATGCCACAGAACGGACATTGCCGTCCCGGCCCGGCGGCCAGCAGAACGGGCAGGTTGGGGCCGCGGCCAGCAGAGGGCATGCATATCTCAGAAAATACGTATTTTTATTCCCCACTTTGCCTATGATAGTTTATAGAAAAATCGACGAACTTGGTAACCCCGACTTTACTAGGAAATGCTGAAAACAGCCTAATCAAGCAGCTAGAAGCAAAGGCCCGGATAAAGAAATATACCAAACAGAAAACAAAAGACCATCGGTTAGGCTACTTCAAAAACAGAAAAATACAGAAAAAGTTCGATACCTGACAAACCCTTCCGGGGCCCAAAAATGACACCAAAACTCAATACTCAAATTTCTAGCCAGCAGATTCGGAAATCGAGGCGATTATCAGCCTGTCGCACTATAAATGTACAAATTCTCATTCCGATCCGTGTTCGGGGTATTTTGACCCCTAGGTAGAATCGTTCGGCCTGGTTGACAAACAGTTCGTGAACCAAAAATAAAACAGAGAAAAAGTAGGCGAGAGACCAAAAAATACGTTTTGAGAAAATAGCAATGCCCCGTCCTGCTGCCGCCGGCCCCCTGGCCAAACCAATGCCCCTTTCTGGCCGCCGGCCGCGGGACGGCAAGTCCCTTCTGCTGGCAATGCCCCTTCTCTGCCATTCCCCTTCTGCTGGCTTTGCCCCTTCTCTTCATTGCCCCTTTTTGCCAATGCCCCTTCTGTTGTCAATGCCCCCTTTTTTCATTCCCCTGCTATCGGTACAGAGCCGCCGAAATTGAGGCGCCCGGATGCTACGATCCACAAAACTGCCGCTATACTCGAGATCTTCGAGCATGAATATTTCTTCTTTTTAGCGCTGTAGCGTAATCTAATCTACGAATTAGCCATGCATTAGCCATTTAATAAAATAAGCTAGAAACTTACGTATCCCACAACGTTTCTTCTGCGTAAACTTGAATTGATATTTTTCCGGGTTGAAGGGAAAGCCTCTTTTGATGCGCGGAAGTGGGGCCCTCGCATCGACGGTGTTCGTTGCCGTTGTATTGTCGCTGCTCATCTTCGTCGACCAGGCGGCGGGCAGGGGAGGCCGTCGAGGTAGACTTCTTGGAGGGAACTAAAACACTTTTTTTTTAGGAGGAAAAGGCAAGGGCAAGAGCAATCTGCATTTCTCGCAAGTCGCCGAATTTTCGTTAATTCAGATGCAATTGACGGACAATAGGGTAAGCTAGGGGAGCAACAAGGAATTATAGAGCGATTGCGTCTACGGTCCTCGTCAATGGTCTTAAAAAACTTTTTTCAGAGCGCGCAAATCATCACCGGGTCGCACTTCAGTCAAACGTTTCGACTTGGCTATAAGCAGGTGCTGATCTGCAAGGCAAAAGGCGATCCACGGCCAACCATAAAATGGTATAAGGAGGGCGCCGAAATCCACTTACGGCCAAATATACATGTAAGTCAGCTAAATTACAATGGGAACAGGACTTTCGCAGTTCTACGAAAAACCGCTGCCGGATAATGTTATGTGGAGCAAATTAGAAATTGATCCGGCCACGATGGGTGATCAGGTACAATCGACATCCGTATCCTCCTATTTCTTTACAGGGAATCTATGCGTGTGTCGCCAACAATAAATGGGGAGTGATGGCCAAAAATTTCAAGGCAGATTATACCTATTAATATCCCGATCAATGCGCTGCATAAAAATTTTAATATTGTCACCATGAACAGCGCAAAGGCCAAGAATCGTAAACTAAAAAAATTTCTTACTCCTCTGTCTTCCTCCGAAGCCGAATTAACTCGAAGGGGAAAGAGCTAGAGTTAGCTCTCTTCGATTCGATAGAGCTGGTCAAAACCCCCAAACTAAAAAAATTATGAAAATTTTATTTAAATTATTAAAATTAACTTTGAAAGTTTTCCTTATAAGGGTGGGGACAGCTGGGTGATTTTGGAATATGAGCCAGGTCGGCTTGATAAAATTTTCACGGGGATTTCATTTCTTTGCTCTCATTCCATCCGGTCTCTTATTTTGTTTTTAAGGATTTCAGCCATGGGGGTATCTAAAGCCATCAGGAGGTATCGAAGAGTTTTTAAGGATTTCAGCCATGGGGGTATCGAGCCATCAGGAGGACGAAAGAAGGGACAGCCAGGGGTACTAACCATCAGGAGACAAGAGTTTTAAGGAGCCATGGGGTATCTGAACCATCAGGAAGGTATTTTGGTAGTTTAAGGACAGCCATGGGGTATCTACCATCAGGAAGGTATTTGTAGTTTTGAAGGAGATCGCCATGGAGGTATCGAGCCACAGGAGTACAAGTTTTTAGGAGAGCCAGGGGTATCTGAGCCATCAGGAGGACGAAAGTTTTTAAGATTTCAGCCATGGGGTATCTAAAGCCATCAGGAGGTACGAAGTAGTTTTTAAGGATTTCAGCCATGGGGGTATCTAACCATCAGGAGGTATCGAAGAGTTTTACAGCCATGGGGGTACAGCCATCAGGAAGGTATTTAGGTAGTTTTTAAGAGATTTAGCCAGGGGGTACAGCCACAGAGGTACAAGTAGTTTTTAACGATTTCGCCATGGGGGTATCTACATCAGGAAGGTATTTAGGAGTTTTTGAAGGAGATTTCAGCCATGGGGGTATCTAAAGCCATCAGGAAGTATTTAGTAGTTTTTGAAGGGATTAGCCATGGGGGTATCTGAGCCATCAGAAGTATTTAGGTAGTTTTTGAAGGATTTCAGCCATGGGGGTACGAAGCCATCAGGAAGTATTTAGGTAGTTTTTGAAGGTTTTTCAGCCATGGGGGTATCTGAAGCCATCAGGAAGTATTTAGGTAGTTTTGAAGGATTTCACCATGGGGGTATCTAGCCATCAGGAAGTATTTAGGTATTTTTGAAGGATTTCAGCCATGGGGGATCTGAGCCATCAGAAGTATTTAGGTAGTTTTTTAAGGAAATTTCAGCCATGGGGGGTATCTGAAGCCATCAGGAAGTATTTAGGTAGTTTTTAAAGAGGATTTCAGCCATGGGGGGTATCTGAAGCCGTCAGGAAGGTATTTATGTAGTTTTTGAGGATGCATGAAGGGTCCCGAAGGCCGATGGTTACAGTCGCGAAGCGACTGGAACCATCTGGTCCAAAACAAACGAGATCGGCAAAAGGCAATAGAGAGCCGTTTGGGAATTTTCTTGATTTTGGATGATGTCGAGACCCCAGCTACCATAACCCCAATCTATATCTCTCAAAAAAAACGAGTAACGTCGCTAATCATGCTTTAACAAGGACTATATTTCGCACCTAGAATCTCGCGTTAGCCAGCTTCGAAGCGGCCACAGGTTTTACTCCGCAAACAAGGCACAGGGAAGACTGGGTAGTAATAGCATTGAGTCTCCAGCTGCGGGCTACAGACTGCATTGCCACCAACAGGGCTCACCGCACACGCGACGCAGCCCCAAATTCTTCTGGCCCTCCCCAAACTAAAGCGGCTTCCACTACAACACTCATCCTCTCGCCAAAAACCACTTTTTCGCCGGCCTTTTTGCATCTAAATAACGAGGACTTTGTTCTGGAGCATCTTCTAGTGTAGTGTAGAGCTTCTAAAGTCTAGATACAATACTACTTGATTTCGGCTCTATTTATGTGAAACAAGCTAGGACGCCATCATGCATTTCCCCGGTTATTCATTGCATTTTGTGCCCCCTTACCAATTTTAAGCCACCCGTTTCCCCTAAATTGAAGTATGACGAAGTGGGTACCCCGCTACAAAATGGCAAACTCGCGTGCAATAGAAATCAATCTAAATTGCTTGGCACTTTCTGTAAGGAAATGCCACGCTGGAAGGCAAAAGGCAAGGGTAAATTACCGAATCAATGAGAACGACGTCGCCTCAGTCATTTCCGAGGTGGTGGGTCGTCGCACGAAAATTGGCCCCTCTTGCTCAGCCAAACCACATCGATCGATTGTGCTGCCTATTCCCTTGGGCCACCTGAAAAAATGCAATGTTCTTCTTTCTGTCGATCATCAAAGCCGAACAGAGCAAAACAGGGACGCATCAGGAAAACCGGGCCGGGGGTAGAGATAAAGGGGTGTTGCGAAACATTCTACGTTAGTCATCAATTGGGTGAAAGATAGAACGTTTTGTGACGCAAACTTCCGCGATCTCTTGAATTTCATGAAAATAATTCAAAAATTCGATCCTCAGTGCCAACGGGACTTTCCGATCGACGATTGAGCGTCATCTTGTTGTCATCGGAAACTTACGACTGGATTTTTCCGGCTAATTTTTTTTCCTTTCTTTTAGGTTGTTTTTGCACGAACATATTTGGCTTTCCATTTTTTCGTAAAAAATCTGGCGAATTGATAATTTGGCAGGTTGCCTCATTCCTACGCCAAAGCCCAAGACTTTCAGGAAGTACTAGTAGAATGTACGCCCTCTTTTCCTACCATCCTAGCCCGTTCGCCGTTTTGGGCTTATTACTCTCTTTGAGCGCATTTGTCCATCCATTATGCCGAATAGAGGCTTTTCTGTCATTATTCAATTTGAGGTTCTCAGGACCAGAAACTTCTTACTTTCTACCTATGCGTTCTATATACGTAAATTTCTCTTATTTTCAGGTTGTCCTACGGGTTTTCTTCAAACGTTGGAACGATGCAGACGATCAAATGTGTTGTGGTGGGTTGTTTTTTTGCGACGATTCGGGGGCAAGGGCGTCGTGCTATTTTTCTCCATGGAATCGGGCAATTTTCAGGTCGGTGATGGAGCCGTGGGTAAGACGTGCCTCCTAATCTCCTACACCACTAACAAATTCCCGTCGGAATATGTGCCGACTGTATTTGATAACTACGCGGTATGCTGTTTTATATTTTCGCGTTTGAGCACCACTTTAGGTCACGGTCATGATCGGTGGCGAACCGTATACCTTGGGGCTCTTCGACACGGCCGGGCAGGAAGACTATGACCGGTATAACTCGCATTCAAATTTTTTAACGTGGCTGTGTTTAGATTGAGGCCGCTTTCTTACCCGCAAACCGACGTGTTCCTCGTTTGTTTCTCCGTGGTTGCCCCAGCTTCATTCGAAAACGTCAAGGAAAAGGTATGGTTACTGCTGTTTTTTCATATTCTGTTTAGTGGGTACCCGAAATCGCACATCACTGCTCAAGAACACCTTTTTTGCTGGTCGGCACACAGGTATGGATCTTTTTGTTCCTCAGACAACCAAACGCTTTTCAGGTCGATCTTCGGGATGACCCGGGAATGCAGGAGAAGCTCGCAAAGAACAAGCAAAAGCCGATCAGCACCGATATGGGCGAGAAGCTGGCCAAGGAACTCAAGGCGGTCAAATACGTCGAATGCTCAGCTTTAACGCAGGTAAAGGATTACGCAAGGATTTATAAAATCCACTCGTTATGCCGGGATTATTCACGGCGAACGTGGCCTGCCTGCAGTCCATATACACCATGCCTTATTACTGCAATCCGGGGGTAACGCGTGTATTTTAGACGTTCTGCAAGATTTTGTAAAAAATTATGTTTATGTTTTCAGAAGGGACTGAAAAACGTGTTCGACGAGGCAATTCTTGCTGCACTGGACCCGCCCACCGACAACAAGAAGAAGAAGTGCGTCATCCTGTAGACGGACTTCGTACGGTGACGGTTGTGCAGCACTTTTCCATAATTTATTGCCACATTTTTGGTATCATCCCTCCTGCTCTTCCATTTTGACTTCGCCCCTAGCTCCCATTGAGACCTGCCTTCCATTTCCTGTTCGGCTAGTGCACTTATGCAGCCAATTGCGTGTGTGTTTGTGAGCCTTGAAATTTGCCGAATTTTCCTTTTACAACCACTATTTTTAAGTTCCATGGCCCCCACATAACCAGCGTCTTCATTCAAATTCCACTAGCCATGCCTGTCGGTTCATTCGTTTTATTGTTCCCCCGCGCGCGCGGGATTCTGTGACCGAACCCGAAACAATTTTGGCAAACCCACAGGTTCTCCTCGCGCCCCGTCCCCTTCCCGACTTACTACCGAAATAAATCTGTGAAATGGCGTAATGTGTGATTCTCGTCAGCCCGGATTTTGCGACACTTTGCCTTGGCCTTTCCCCCCTATCCTCTTCTAATCTCGCTTATCCAACCCCGCGTCTGTCCCTTACCGTCTTCTCATAGTGCTTTGGAATCCTGCGGTTGAGTTTTTGACCCGCACCAGTCACCAAAAACAGCCGTCCCCTATTTATCCACGACTTTTGCTCACGTGAAGTTACAAGTTTATTCCGCTCGACGGCGGCTTTATATTCATCCTCCACCACCCTTTTTACGGCAACAATAAATTAGATGGCCACCGCCCTATACTAATACACAATTGAGTCTTTGTCTTTGCGGCGCATCTTGGTATTGAAATGAACACAGAAGGCCGCTTCGTCGGAGCCGTCGCTGGAAATTGTTGGAATGGAAAGGAGTTGTGTGGGTAAGCGACGCATTGGATGTAATGCTGTCTAGGTGGAACCTACCGGCAATCCCTTCTACCATCACAAACGGAGGCTGGCGCTACGCATCCGCCATCGCGGCACGCGAACCACTTTGTTAAACAACCGCCACTAAGGCCACCAAGTGGCCAAGCACCTGATGACACAACCTGAATGGAAAATCTTGCGGCCTGGCTTAGCACAACGCTGTCTCTGTAAGGACCTGCTAGGAAGTGGTTTTGTTTAGCGCCATGAAAAGCTCTGAAGCGAATGCTCCACCGGTTTGGACCGACCTGCTTGGTGCGCTTGCAAATTTTTGGGCTTTCATCGGAGCGATCCTCACAGTCGTACCGCCCATCGCACATCCACCTACGGGGAAAGTAGGAAAACTCAAAGAGGCATATACCGCTTATCAATACATTGCATTCCATCTTCGCATCGGATTCTCCCTCGCCCGTCACAACTAGAAAATAAACCCACGCCTAATTTTGGCCAATTTGCACATTTTTATGCCGATTTTAGCAGAAACGGGCAGACATTCTCGGCGTTTATACGAAGACCATGGATTTTTTTTTGTTTTCTAGAACCAGACAAGGATAGGTTTTAGAAACAACATCGTCTGTCTGTCATGAACAGCGCCCCCGAACGGTATCAAAAGGCAAATTGCTTACGCCGGCAAAGCAATCCCATCTTCCCTTCCTTTAGCAGACAATACAAGCAGCAGCAAGACCGTGCAAGCGAAGCGGAAACCCTCCATAACGCAAGGCATGAAAATGGGATGTTTATGCCCCGAGCAGCGCTAGATGGGATGCGTAACTTGATACGCAAGCCCGACGGAATGCCCAAGCAGACCAGGCAGCCCAAGGTTTTTCCTTTTTGAAATTTAGGTGAAATCTTTGTCTTGGTGTCATCGAAAAAAGCTGTCGTATTTAGTGTGTAGTTCGAGTGTCCAGTCCAGTACTGAAAATATTTTTTCTTCAAGAAAAAACCTGATTAAAAAGGAACTAAACGACAGAAAGGGCATCGACGGTTTTCGCGCGTATTTTGCAAGGAATATTTTTCGAGCCAGAGCTACCATTAATAAACCAATTCCTTGCAGAAAACGACTCGAAAACCCAAAATCTGGAAACCGGGTGTAAAGTGTATACGGGGGAGAGAAATCACAGTCAACCGAGGATATAGTAGGCCGGCTGTTTAGGCGAATTCCCGTCCAGCAGGTCAAAAAGACCGTGAAAAATTGGGAAATTCGACTAAATTTTGGCCGGAAGAAAAGGAAAGGGAAAAAAGACGCTGAACCGACGTTTCTAGTTTTTTAACAGTAGGTTAATGAAAAAACGGATTTGTGAATTTGGGGGTATTGCGAGAAGGCACTGTATATGTGTGGAGTAGAATATACTGGAAAGTCTACGGCAGGATAGAGACGGTATCGACAACGAAATGCGACGAAGCTGAACAGCGAATAACTTTTGAGGAGCAACTTTTTGAGGTAACCTCTTTTCTGCAAATTGTTTGTTGGGTTCTTTTTAGGCCAACCGACCAGGCCAGCTGCTCCCCAAAATTTGTGGAAAGTCATGAAGCCAGACATGAAAAAAGGCAATTAGCAAATTTCGAACGGTTAGCACGCTCCCATTTGTAGGGGTACTATGGAATAATGCCTCGTAATTCGTAATCTAATCTAACAGAGCTTGTGTTATTCTAAAAAAAATAGTTTTTAGCGAGCATTTCAGCGGTTAAATGACGAACAATATACTACCAGAAGCGTGTGAACCGTTTGACATTTGCTAACTGCGGAAAACGAACGGAAAAAACTGACTATATATTTGTTAGGTGCAATTAAGGTGACAAGAATGCGCGGAGGAATCATCGGACTGGGGGAGTGGACAAACCGGGAGGCGAAAAACAGGCTATCTTGGACTATGTTTTTTTTATTTCTGAAAATCACCGGAGTAGATAGAATTTGACAAAATAGATTCCTATTTAGAACAACGAACGGTAGTATATAAGAGGAAAAACGAAGACATCATCACACTGGGGGGCTCGCCGAATCGGGAGGGATAAACTATTTGTATATATAAATGTTTATGGGGGATTTGGAGGGAATAATTGACGGCTAACAGCGGGATCGGGGAATAGAAATCTGTAAAGCTTTTAGGTGGTTGCAGAATATGGAGAAGCCGCTGAGGGGCGCGTGATCAGACGTGTGTCGTCTTCTTGATACAAGAATGGACCTGATCGACAAAATCGGGGAAGCACTCGTGCGCCAGCTGAAACCAGATGTCTTCCAGCTCGCTGGTCCTGCAAATTGTCGAAAGTGTGGGTTTAGAGTTGTTTTTAATAAAGTTATAACATTGGTACTGTTCTCTTAGCAGGGGTAAAACTATTTTTTTTGTTCCCGGCCTATTCCTGTAGATAATTTAATAGATATACATTTTATAGTATTTTATTAGCTTTTGATTGCTAGAAATTTGTAAAACATATTTCAAAAATTTTTGAATAGCCGCAAATTCTATCTTTTTTGGTCAAAATCTCAAAAATTCTCGAAACAGTCTCCCCCCGCTAACAGAACAGTACCATAACAGATTTCCCAGTAATCACCAAAAGGCGAACCTCAAGCTGACGGGCGTCGCCTCGCCGTTGTGCACCGATTTGTTGTGGGAGACGAACGAGGTATGCAGCCCGAATTTGCTGTTGCACCCCGAGCAGCTCCACGCCCGCGGCCCGTGCGAGACCATGTGGCGAAGGAGTTTTTGGGCTGTCCGGTGCTTCGGGTTCACCAACGAGCCGCACTTCTGCAACGAGGTTGTTCAGTCTTGTTTTTTTATTGCACATTGGGTCGTTTGTCGGGTGTTTTTGACGGGGTTTGCAATATCACAAGGCTCATTCGATAGAGCGGGACATTTTCAACAAGCCACGAAAAAGGTTCAAAAAAAAAAAAAAAAAAAAAAAAAAAAAAAAAAAAAAAAAAAAAAAAAAAATTAAAAAAAAAAAAAAAAAAAAATAAATAAATTTATAAAAAAAAAAATAATTAAAAAAAAAAAAAAAAATGAGATACCTAAATCCGCCTGTTCGGAACAAATTTTGGTTCTGGACTGTTAGCGGGGGGGTGGAACCAAACTTTCCCTTTGATTCTCTACGACCCTTTTTATAGCATTTTGCACGTGGCTTTCCCCCTGCTAACCCCCCCCGCTAACAGTCCAGAACCCAAATTTTCTCCATGGCCGTCGTTCAGCCTTTTTCGAAAAATAAGACTTGGTCGGAATTGCGAGCTCTGTCGAAGCAGCCATGCCACTTTTTCGACATGTATCTATTTCTTTTCTCACCTTACACGTCCAGTCCCCCTTATAGGTCCATTCGGCATTCCGTTTCCGTCGTTCTTCGTCGTCAAAATCGCCGAGTAGATCTTTCTTCGGCGTTTCTTGGCGGTACGACTAAAAACAATGTAACGGATAGCTGATGCATAGTGTATGCTCTATTCTAGTAGTAGTAGTGTAGGCTTTTAGTGCAAAACAAGTTTTCCAAATAAATATTCAGAGCGATTCGTACCTTTCCCTCGACAGGCGATCCCCAATCCGAATGTGCCTTCCTTTTTCCACTATCTGGCACTGGGGAGGTGCCGTTGGAATGTAGACGCTCAATTACGGAACCCAACGATCGTCGTGATTGCTGGAAAGCGGAAGCTTATTAAAAACAATCGGCAAGTCATTGATCATTGATTGTCTGTTGGCAAAACAGCTCTACCTTTGGATCGAAGTCGTGCGGCCCATTTGGTAGAGAGGTGGATGGGAAGAGGGCCGAGACGAGATTTGCCAATGTTTCATTCGGTGCCATTGAAGATGGATCGCCATCGCCCATGTCGCCCATTTCGATGGCCGCATCTGATCCAGCCGACGCGTTCAACGCTACCTGCAAGTAGGTGTATAACGGTTTTTTGGGTTTTCTGGATTCTGATTTCCGAAATTCTTACGCGTCCTCAGGTGAAAGGCATTAAAGAAACATCCGACCCCCAGATTTGTCATGGCCGGGGTTTGAACCCGGGTCTTGTGCGCGGCAAGAGAACGCAAAAGCAATGACCTAATCGGCCGAGAGGATCGGAATAGGCAGGCCCGTAACGGAGGGGGGGGACGAACTTTGTATTTTCGAGCCGATGCTTCTTCGTAGCACCATTATTTATTACGCATAGATTCACATAGGCACCAATAGGCCGCATAAGGCCATATCACTCTCCCCCCCCCCGTTAAGCGACTTTTACCCTCAACGGTATCTAATTTGGCTAATTGTGAAATGCGCCCAAGTTGGATTTTTACGTACATCGCTATCATCGTGTAGTGTTGACCCGGTGTGGTCGAGGTTCAAATGCAAGATGCCGGTTTTCGAATCCGACTCTCGGCGTGGTGATGGGGAATCTGATGTTGACGAGTCGGCCGAGGCAGCCGCCCCTGAAATGGCTTTATTACGCATAGATTTTGGGTTCTTTCGCATTATAGGGGGGGGGAGAAAGATTTTTTCTTAGGAAAACATTTTTAGATATATTGTTGAGTACCTGACGCGGGTCCATGTTGAAGCTGTTTGATGAGGGTGGGCAGGGCTTGTAGACTACTGCAAACGCCATCGGTCTCGGTCTCGAGTTGTGGCTCGGGTTTTACGAGGGCTTGTGAGAAGCCCTTTTGTCCTGAAAGCCCGCCGAGGGAGACGATCGTCGCGGTCGCCGTAGAGGTGGGCAGCTAGAAGGTTTTTTAGAAAAATTGGTGCTAATGCATTGGGGGCTCACGGGTTTGAGTACAAGACGCTCCCAACGCCGTTTTTGAAACTCTAAGCTGCTGGAATAATTAAACTAAGAAGCTAACTTTATAAAACAAATCTAAGCTTAGCTTGGGCCAAAAAGGGGGGGGGGGATAGCGGGGGCCCCTTTTTTTTTTTTGTGGCCCCCCGGGGGGGTTATTTTTGTGGGGGGGGTTAGACCAAGCCAGCTCTGCACGAAGCCCCAGATATAGCGAGCTAGCGCCCAATACCTCGATCTCGGTGATTTCGGGGCCATTTTTCAAGATTAAAACAACTAGTAGTATCGGAATCGCCGGAGAATTCCAGATATGGCGCCAGAATTTGCAAATTCGCGCATTTTCACGCCCAAAAAGGAGCGAAAAAGAGCATCAAGCGGTCGCGTTGCGCTCTTTACCATGGGCCAACACAGAACTGCGAACTTCTTGGCCCCGTTAACGGGTTTTCAGATGAATTATGCCCACCTGTCCAAAGCTATGTATTGAGAGGGGTTGAAGGGGCATCGAGGTGGACATTGTGCTTGGAGATGGTCGGGGTTCCGAGTCGGTGTCTCCGCCCTCCGCTTCAGCGCCCTAAATATAAATAATTAAATCAGCCTGTCTCGCCGCGGCGACACACAACGCGTATGCTTGACCGCTTGGCGCGTCGCGTACCGCGGCACGTCACTCATTTACACGAATAGCTTACATGCACCGAGCCGGAACTGCCGGCGCTTTGTGTGCAGGAGCAGGCTTCGGAGAGGTCGTTGACGAGTCGGAACTCCGAGTACCCGTTTTCGAACTGAAAAGATGGGCATGTGAGGTTGTTTTTGAAACTGGCGCTCATTTAATTGATAGGTTATGATTATGGCATAGCCGAGTAGGTTCAACATGAGCCAAGCCTATGCCTACGCTTAAGCCCGCGCCTAAACTTAGGCCAAGCCTAAATGAAGCCTAATCCTAAGCCTAAGCCTAGCCTAAACCTAAGCCGTAACAAGCCTAAGGCTAAGCCAAGCCTACGCCTAAGTCTAATCCTAAGCTTAAGCCTAAGCAAAGCCTAAGGCTAAGCCAAGCCAAGCCTATGGACAAGCCTAAGCCCTAACCCTGTCCAAATTCGCTTGTTACCCCGACTAATTGATAGAAAACCCCTGTTCTCGCGGGGGTTCTTCCTTTCACAGCCATTTTTTGGGCGGCGTATAAGCCATGGTATGCGATGGTGAAGGTCATTGAGAAATGGTCTGGCCCCCCGCTTCGTCTCGCCTCGAATTGGGTCAACCCCGTCGGCTTTTTTGGCTCTCTCTCTCTCTCTCTCTCTCTCTCTCTCTCTCTCTGTCTCCAACTACCCTTACTCCAGCGCACCACACGATTTCAGCCGATAAAGTGGTGCTCGAAGCCCCTGCACCCCCAAAATCCCGTTTGCGGATTCTGGGTCTCTGTCTCCTAATTCTACCGCGGGACTTTTGGCGAAAAAGAAGGGGCCATTTAAATCGGCTTTTTTAGACACTTTTTACCATAGAAATTGGCATAAATTCCCCCCTAAAAAGACAAACTACTCAAAATCTGTATACTAATAAAGGAAATATAGTGTAAAACCCCGACAGCCGAATCCCGACAGCGGAAAATTCGACATGAAAAATAGCTGTTAAAGAGGGAGTGGAATCCAAGAAAGTGGGAAGAAATATGACGGCATTTGGGCCTGTCGGTATTATGGGTTTCGGGATTTTTTTCTGTCGGTATCATGGTGTCGAGATTTTGGCGTTCGGGATTTTGCCTTTCGGTATTTTTTTCTGTCGGGATTTTTGCCGTCCGGATTTTGACCGAAATCCCCCTTTCTCCTGAATCCCTCCCCGGGGCCATTTATACAGTGCTTTCCCGCGGTCGGCTGTGTGCCATCCAATATTTTCGAATTCCGCGGCGGTTTGCCGTCGGGAAACCATTTCCTATAAACCACCGCGATTCACCGAGCGCCCTTCCCGCCCTCCAACAAAACGAAACGAAATTGCCGGCCGGAAAAGCTTCACCCCCCCCACCGCCAACACCCGGCCACAGCCAATCGATCAACCCTCAGCCAGCCATCCGAGATTCCTTTTAGTTTGAGCTGACTGACGATCCGGAGGGTATTTTGGAGAATTGTTTAAAGGGGCTACGACATTGGGGGTTGGGAGGAAAGGCCTAAGGTATCGGCTTGGGGGATAGGCATTGGCTTTGGCTTCGGCTTAGGCTTAGGGCTTAGGTTTATGCTTAGGTATCAGCTTAGGCTTAGGCTAAGGGCTACGCTTAGGGTTGCGTCTAGGGCTAGAGTTGGGCTTAAGGTTGCGCTTCGGCTTAGGCTTAGGCTTAGGCTTAGGCTTATGCTTACACTTAGGCTTAGAACGAGGCTTAGGCTTAGGCGTAAGGTTATCCAAAGTTATCCAAAGCTTAGGCTTAGGGATGGGCTTAGGTTTCGGCACAGGCTACGCTAAGACTTTGAAAGCCCTACACTAGTAAGCCTTGGGCGTAAGCTATACTTAGACTTGATTGGCCCATCGCCTTCGCGTGCCGCTTTAAAGGTAATCGTAAGTGGTTTAACGTCATTTTCGCTTAACGTTCAACTGACCAGTATCATGAACAGAGTGCCAATATCGGCATGCGGGGGCAGCCGTACGATGGCATACTGCGGACGGCCACGAGAGCCCATCGAGGGCACGGCCACCCCGATGAGAAGACCGACACCAACTGCAAAAAAGATAGATTAAACCGAGAGGAAAATGGAATGAGATGAAAATGAAAAGTTCGAATAATTAGAGCCCAAATTTAAAATAGAAACAGCAAGGATAGCTACCGAAACAGGAGGAAGTCAAATTCAGCTAACGGTCAAGCGACGTGATACGGAAGCGGTTTGATACAGGGTGCGCGTAGGCTTAGCTTAGGTTTCTCATCGTTAAAAGTACCTATGAACGCTAAAGGTTACAAGCAGGCTTAAGTTTGCTTGGTTGGAAGAAAGCCAAGCTTAGGCCGGGCTTAGCTTTTGCGTGGTTAAAATGGCCATATAGAGCTTGGCTTCAACCCAGGCTTAAGTTGTCATAAGCTGGAACTGGGCTTGGTTTGACTAAAGTCAAGCCAAGGCTTAGAACTAACTTGGGTTTTTCGTGGTAAGCAATATATATTCGGCTCCGCTTAAGCTGGCCAAGTTACGATAAAGCCCTTTTTGACCAAAGCAAAGCCTAGTTCAATTTAATTTCACTTTTCTAGTCTTAAAAAGAGCTGTAAGCCTTAGGTTTTCCCCAAGCTACGAACAGACTTGGTTTCCGTAAAGCTAAATTTAAGCTCATACTCATCCAACCATCACCTCAACGAGAAATAATCGGAATATGGCGAGAGGTATCAGAAAAAGACGGGGACCCGAGAAAAAGCCGGGCGAACCACTTCGATTCGAAAACATTTCCCCCCGGCCACGTTGTCGGCTCTTTTCTGGGGTGTGAAATGACATTCCATTAAGGGTATTAGTCACATTTGAAAGGAGACAGCGCCAACCAACCACACTATTCCCTTCATTTTTCTCGATTTGTCAAGACGATTTTTGGAGTAGTGTAAAACATTTCATGGTATAAAAGCAAGCCTAACAAGCAGACATTTTTGGTGCTAATGCACTTGGGGGGGAGTCTGGATTTTGACTACAAGACGCTCCAAGTGCCGTTTTTTAAACTCGAAGCCTCTGGAAAAGTCGGCCTAGGCTTAGCTTTATACAAACTAAGTCAAAGCTTAGCTTGAGCCAAGCTAAGCTTAGCTCTAAGCTACACCCTAAATGACCCCATTTTACCACCGAAGGCAATTTAAAGCTCAGGTTAAGCCTAGCCTGGGCAGAAGCTTAAGCCTAAGACGAAGTCCAGCTTAGTTAAAGCCAAGTTAAGCCTAGGCGTAAGCTGAAAACCAAGTAGCTGAAGCGGAGCGTCTCGTAACCCCACTACCAATTTCGCCCGCCCCCCCAACTGCATTAGCACCACATTTTTTAATGACAATCGAGTTTCCGTACGGGACTAAGCCTATCTTGTGCAGAATTTTCTGACTTGAACTTTGTTCGGAATTTATTAACGATCAGATTCAAGAAAATGGTCCTATTTATGCATTTTTTTTGTCTTAGTCTCTGATCAGTCGGACTCCACTGATCGTTTCGCAGATTTTAAAAATAGATTTAGAATTAGGGAAAATTACGTATGGAAACTGAATTTTCAGTAAAAAAACATCTCATTGTAAGCTTGCCTTAGCCCGCTAAAACTACGAAGCCCCACTGAGACAAGCAGGAAATTCGTGTGCTCGGCCAGCAACCTATGAGTCAAAAAATAGAAAGGAAATAGAATGGAAAAAAAATAGAAAGTTCACCAGCGCTGACCCCCCGCTACGCGGGGGTTCAGCGCTGGCCCTCCCCCTCCCCTCAATTTGAATTTTGAATTTGAATGCAGAATTTGGCTGAATTCCTGGACGGGCGTACGGACATTAGAAATTTATATATAGTAGATAGTAGATTCCCTACGAGTATCGACAGTTTATTTTTGTTGCGAATAATGTTCGTGTCCCTTTATTTGGTTGCGAATTAAAAAAAAGATGTAGATTAATGTGGCTAAGGTATCGCAAGTCAGGCTCGACGTAGGCGGAAGTAGCCTAAACGGACTTTTTCGGCAAAACAAATAAGGGCGTCTAATCGAAGCTGTTTAGCGGTGGCGTTCATTTTGCCGTTTTTTAGTTCACCGTATTTTTCGCGACAAAAACGGCGAAAAGAAAATTGTTCAACTCAAAAATTCGGCAAAACTAAACCCGGAAAACCGCCGCCGGCCAAGGAAAAATCGACGAAATGCACGTACCTAGTGTGCACCACTTTCCCGCGCTGCCCACAACTCGCGCAAAAAAACATGTGGAAAAGGTGGCCAGGGGTTGGCCGTGAGAAAAGGGTGTCTTTGTGCGGGTAGGGAGAAGGGGTCGATGGGGGGAAAGAGCACGAAAAGTGCATCTAAAGGCATCGAAAGCTGTGGCTAAAGGCAGAGCAACAGTTTTGACCCCCTTTGTTCGCACCCTCGACTCATCCAACACTAAAGGCGCACGAGATAGGGGCAGTAGGGATGGGTGCTAGGAAACGAAGAAAGCATGAAAAATCCACGACTGTCGATTAGAAATTGCGTGTATGCTTAGGTCTGGGCTTGGGTCTGGGCTTAGGCTTGGCTTTGGCTTAGCTTTAGAATTGGCCATAGGCTTAACTTAGCTTAGGCTTAAGGTTAAGCTTGGGTTTAGGCTTGGGCTTAGGATTAGGCTTACGCTTATAGGCTCTAAGCTATAAGCTCTCTTAGGCTATAAGCCTTGGGCTTAGAACTAGGTTAGGATTAGGCTTAAGCATAGACTTATCTCCAGGCTAGCTTAGCCTTCTATTTATTCTTAGGCCGGTTCATCCAAGTACCCATGTGAAATCGATCGAATCCATACTAACTTCCATAGGAATGCCTTGACAGTCCCTTGAAAAGCACAGTACTTGGTGCTAGTACGTACGCAGCAGTACTATCGACATCGACAGTAGGAAAGGGTTGCAAAGGGTGGGACGGAAATAGAGGGGGTTTCAGGGTTCAAGCGCCAACTTGTGCAATAATAAAGCAGCTTCTTGGTGATCGGCCTCGCTTCGTTGATTTGAGCTGGTGGGATAGCTAAAGAGGTCGTTTTGTCGGCGAGAGGAGCCATATAGATGGATCAGGGCAAAACCAATATTGGTTCGAAGCGCGGCTCCCATCACCCGAAATTCAGATTCAATATGTGGCAGGGTCCAGGGGGGTGGGGTGGATGAGTGGATACTAACTTATATCATAAATTGTATGACTGGATAGAGAGAGAGAGAGAGCGAGATAGAGAGAGAGAGGGAGAGAGAGAGAGAGAGAGAGAGAGAGAGAGAGAGAGACAGAAGCGAGGGACCGAGAGAGATGATAGAGATAGAGAGAGACAGACAGAGGGAGAGAGTGATAGAGAGAGGCGAGACAGTGAGAGATAGAGAGAGAGAGAGAGAGCGTTGGGGAGAGAGATCAACAGAGAAGGCCAGAGAAATTGCTAGGGGTTGCGAACTGTGGCCTTCGACATGGTATTCGAGCACGAAAAGGGGTGGGGGAAATTTTTGCGGGTGGTATTGTGTTGACCTTGGCGAGAAAGAGAGAGAGAGAGAGAGAGAGAGAGAGAGAGAGACGGCGGGCCGTATAGAAGGGGAACCATTGAAATGCGGGAAACAAGTTGGAAATGGCCGATTCCGGGAGGGGAGAAGGGAGCACGGACGGCACCCGAGCGGATCGATGGAATGGGTGGACGATCGGGGGGCGTGTAAAGGGGTGCACAACGGAATTATATATTGGGGGGTGCTGGTGTGGAGTTGGATCATCGGGTGCTGATTTGATTGGTACCCAATTTGAGTTGCGCTGATCGAAAAGTTATCAAAATGTTCAGAAACATACTTCTCCATATGGTACTTTAAATGTTCAAACAAGGAACGGCTACGGGTGCTAGCATCTAACCGCGCCCGCGACACGCAACGCGCACGCCCTCTAACCCGCGTCTAGCCAAATTGCAGGGCTGTGTATATGCGTTGCGCGTGCGCTGTGGCTCGCGCCTTGAATAATCTTACTTGTTCTGAAACTCAAGCTCTATGCAATCCAGAAAAATTAGGCGTATTAAGGCTGCCATTTCAAAACATCGCAATCTGATCCAACCGAACCTAAACTGGGGAGGTTTCGCAATAACGGAGGGCAAACTTTTTCTATAATTCCAAAAAAGCCTAAGAACCCACCGGTAAGCATTTTAATAGCAGTAACTGGATTTTTAGTGAAAAAATAATAAAAAACCTGCAATTTTTTTTTGCAAATTTGCTCGAAAAATCAATTTTTTAATCCTTATGCAAAATTTGTAAAGTTTCCCCTACTAGGAATAGGAAAAGACAGTTTAGAAACATTTCCGTTTCTATATTAGAAAATTTGGACTCTATAGAAAAATTGTTCCTCTGGTGACCCCCCCGAGATTGTGAAAGATTCAAATTTGGCATTAATACACCCCTAAAAACAGCTTGGTGTCGATAGTAGCCAGTGGTAGTCGAGGGAGGGGGGGAGGTTGGTGGGGGGAAAGGTTCGGCTGGGTTCACCGGGTCTCGGGCCCTTTTCTATTTGTCGTCAAATGGGGTGAGGGGGGGACTCCCACCCCATGTGATGGCCATGAGTAAAAGGCAGAAAAAAGAATAAAAAGAGAGTCGGGGAGAAGCGATGGCACAACAGAGGGCCCGGCCATACAACAACTCACACAGGGTACCATCATCACCATTTGTGCCACCAGCTAGTGCTTAGGCTTAGGCTTGGAATAGGCACAGGCTCCGGCTTGGCTGAGGCTTAGGCTCAGGCTCAGGCTTAAGCTTGCGTGCTTAGGTTGGGCTTAGGCTTAGGCTTGTCTTAGAGCCTGCGCTTAGGCTTAGGCTTGGCTTAGCGCTTAGGTTGGCTTAGGCTTGCATTCGGGATTAGGATTAGGATGGGATGGCTTAGGCCTCGGCTTTGGCTTGGGGATGGCCTGGGCTCAAGTTTAGGCTTGCGCTTGGCTTGGGATTTGGCTTATGCATCGCGCGAACAGGACTAAACCCTGAGACGGGTACCGCCCCATCGAATCTGCTAACCGCCTTGGGGTCGCGTGGCGGCTCCGCGAGGTTGGTGAAAAAGGGTAAAGTAAGCAAAATAATTTATCCTGAATCGAAGCAATAGGAATTAAAGAACGTGTCGTTGTGCGGGAAGGGGGCTGTGAGTTTCGGATTGAGGCAGGCGACCGAGTTGCGAACAAAAACAGAAGGAAATGGAGGCAAGAGGGAGGGAAGAGAGAGAGAGAGAGAGAGAGAGAGAGAAGAGAGAGGAGGGGGGGGAGGGAAGAGAGAGACGTACAGCAGCGCACACCACCCTTAATTCATGCCTACCCGAATGCTGGGTGGGGTGGTCGCGGGCTGGTCGGAACTGTACCAGTTTCCAGAGTCGACTAAATCTCTCTCTCTCTCTCTCTCTCTCTCTCGCCTAAATGAGAAAAAATTGAAAATCAACATCAGAATAAAAAAATCGGCATTTTTTTGCCGATAAATTGAAGGTAGACGCCGTGCCACTTTTTCAGCATGCTTCCCAGGAATTCTCATGATACGAACGCCGGAAAGCGTACCAAAATTCGAAGGGAATCACCGTGGCCACAGCCGATGCAGCTGCTGCTGGCTTTTTGGCGGCCGGCGAGGGTTTTTGGTGGGGTGAGCTGGAGTTTGCTTTCCACTTTCTACACACACCCACCCTGTCACACTACCCCATCTCCACC